TTCGGGCTCGTGGGTCCTTTTTCGGGCTCGTGGGTCCTTTTTCGGGCTCGTGATGCCCAGAAAAAGGTACCCGGATGTCTGTAACTCTTTGTTTCTGTTATCTCATATTGTCCTAATTCAAATTGTCCAAATTGTTATTACTCTAATTGTGTCACTATTTTTTTTGACCATTTTATTACTATTAAACTAAAAAATTTTAAAAACAAGTGATTGGCATTTTTCACAAGGAGCATGTAAAGTATGTTGTGCCAGGTAATATATGTGTGGTGCTAAGGCTTAGAAACTTGTGGGGAGCTCTAAAAGTGAGAGAATCCAAGTGTTTGTGTTCAGCATTTGGAGCTGGCAGCAGGCAGAGTGTTTCTGTGCTGGCTGCTCTCTGAAGGGCATCGTGCATTTAGTCAAGAGCACAAGGGTTAAACTTGCCTCAGAGCAGCTTGGAAGCGAGGGCTGATTTTTATGGAGGGTAAGGGAGTCATCTTAAATAAGTGCTGGAAATCAAGAAGGAGTTTTGCAGCCCAGAAAGAGCCTCCTGGGTGAAATGTTGAAGCCAAGTGCATTTTCTGGTCTCAGTATACTTTTGATATAATCCCTTTTGTTGTATTAGCAGCCCCTGAACGTGGCAGTGTTTCTTCCATGCTTCCACAGGCTGCTTGTAGGCAACTCTTTCCCAAACTGATATGTATGCATGGATGCATCTGGATTCTTATCTAGGCTGAGCTATGAAATCTGGAGTAACTGCTTTGATGAAATCAGTGGATTTACTCCAAGTTTACATTTGTGTAGTTGAGATTAAATCAGTTTTAAAAAAACCCCAAGCAGCTAGCACACAAGATTTGACATCCACAAAATTACCATTAAAAAGTGTGAGGAAAGCATCTTTTCTGCATAGTTTCTCCCACCTTTTAAAAACTCCTTTTTACAGCCCTACCTGGGTGAATTAGAAGAGGCTGGAACTGCAGCTGCTGGTGTCCAGGCTGGTTCTCTCAGAACTTCAGTTCTCAGCCTGCTCTGACCATGCACCGTGCAAAGCCACAGCTGGAAAATGCAGCAGAAAGCATGACCAGAACATGCCTTGCTCCTCAGGAGTTTTCCACAGCAGCAGGTCTCCAAGCAATTCTGAAGGAGGTAAAATGGTTTCTGCTGCAGGCAGATTGCTATAGTTGAGCATCCTGATAATCCAGGGCTGTGGCACATGTGGCTTTGATGAAATGCCATCACCACAAGAGCCAAATGCAGTGAAACCGTTCCTAACTTTTACTGAAAAGGGAGAAACCTGATCCACAGAGAGCAGAGCTGTGTGCAAGCATGCTCAGGAGCAGCCTTGCCTTGGGAAAGCTGTAATGGCCAAAGGAAAGGTTGAATTTGAAATCTAATTAGCCAAGATGTGTTTGCAAATATTAAAAATGTGCTGTTTTGGCTCTAGCTTTAATGGGGCAATACATACAGAGCACCATGGGAAATAAGGTCTATATGCCACTGCATTCCCATCTGCTTGTGCCTCCTTTCACTTTGCTTCCTCACAGGTGGAGCAATATTCACAAAGCACAGAAATGATGGACAAAAATGTGTCATTACCCAGCTCCCCGTGTGCAGTCTGGCAGTGGCACAGAGGGTTTCCCTGCTGGGCTGCCTGGCCCTCAGCCCTTGCTGTGATTTAGGGCATGCCTAAAGTGCCACTTCAATACTGCAGGGGTCTGAAACAGTGATGGAACCATGAAACCATTGGCCTGTTCGTCCATTTGCCCAGCTTTTCTGCTGCTTTATGGAATTCCTGAAGTTACAGGTTCTCCTGCAATGCATGCTCATTGTGAGCCCACGTGAACTTGGTGGGCTGTTTCTCAGGACCCCAGGGACCAAGGTAGCATGGATTTCTCACTGCTGGAGCAGGCTGTTGCTTATCCTACAAAAGCCAAAGAAAAGAAAAAAATAAAGCCTAGCAGTTTTACAATAATCCAGTGGAAAATGGATTTAGGAAAGTGGTTTGGGGATTTTGCTTGTTTCCTATTGTTTTGGTTTTGCTACACAGCATTTCAGAAAAGTGCTTGTGTGGCAAGGCTGAGAGGAAAGCTCTTCAGGAGAAATGTTTCACTCCCTAGGAAATGCTAGAGTTAACTAAGAAACCAAACAGCCCCAAAACCCTGCAGCCTCAATACATATGCAGTTAGCTACAGACATGTCTGGGATGTAGTACTTAAGGGTAAGTTTTTTAAGCAGCAAACAAGTCTTGGATGAAAGGTCCTTTCCAGACATTTTCTTTTTATTTTTTTCCTGTGTGTGTGAGTAAAACCTGATTTGATATGGAGTCAAGTCCCCCATCACTCAGAGAAGAAAAGCAAATCTGTTGGAAATGTTCTCTGTGTTTGTAGGCAGTGGCAGGGTCACAGCAGAATTAACCACAGAGGAGGCATTACCGGGCAGGTTCCCTTAATCATTGGAGTGCAGCCTCACCTGCACGGGCTCTTTGCACCAGGGTACAACTGCTGGGGCTGCTGCTGGCTGCATGAAAGTCAGAGCAGCTTCAAAGGGCTCCTCTGAAGCCTGGTGAGGTCGGGATCAAGGGAAGAGGGATGAACCTGGGGTGGGAGGGGCTCTCCAGGTGCAGTGACTGTCAGGGCAGGTTGCTGCTGCAGCAGCTCCATCTTTGCAAGTTTGGTGCTTCACTGGTTCAAAATGGTCACTGTGATAAAGGTAATTTCTGTGCTGGGACTGTTTGGTCTAGTGTGAAACAAGTGAAGTGAGGTATGACAGATTATGTGGTTTTGGAACTAGGAAACAATAGTAATATAATTATGGGTTTTGGACAGATGCTTTAATGCATTGGTGTGGAGACTCTGTTTTGTTTAGAGCAGATCCTGGGATCTGGAGGAGGTGTAATGTGAATGCTGACTGTACCTCAGACTGGGTACTGCTGCTAAGGCAGAAATTCCCAACAGCTGGGACAGGATTTGACATAAATACCAAGACATTGACTTCTGCATTTTTGTTTCTGTAGGAAGGGTCTGTTCTTAAATATGTGAAGGTATAGAGAAATTACTTTGAAAATGGCCTTGTGCTAAAGCAATTAAATAATATTTATTTCAGATAATTAATTCCAAGGGAGGGATAAAATTGAGGAAAGGAAAAATAACAGTGAAAACCGTCTGCAGACTTTGGAGGCATTTCTTGTTGGAAAGGGAGGGATTATTACTGATGTTAGCTTTTCAGAGGTTTTAAAGTGGGGTTCAATAACTATAAAGGCTAGATTGTTTGGCATGAACATTTCTACAGTTCTAAATGTTGGTTGCAGTTAATGTAGGTGCAATAAATACATATGTGCACAAGAGTTAATGAAAATCAGCATAAGCACAACAAGAAATGTGTTACAGCAAAATGCAGGCATAATTGACATAAATATAAAAGCAACCACTTCTGAAGAATGGGAGAACTCAAAAACAGCAGTGAAGGAGTTCTGAATGATAGCAGATCTGATGTTGTCTCTGGATTTGCCCCATATGTCTGTAGTTCTCTCAGTGTTCTGTAAGGCACCTGTACTGTGCCAGAGACAATGCAGTGATGCAAACCCTGCGCAACAAAGGCAGGTTTTTTCCTGAGTGAGAGGAAGAATTCTTGTCCTTCTCCATCCTTGGGAAGCCTAAGCAATAGCAATGTTCAGCTCTCCAGGAGGGCAGAAAAACCATGCCAAGAAGCACACAGAGAGCTCCTTAAATATGGAGCATTTTCATTTTTCTGATTTCCACATTGACTTTCACCATACTGCACACTTGCCTGAAAGGTCACCTCTGACAGGGGAGTTTTGTTCTTAGTTTTTCTTACCTTGTAGCATTCTCACTGGGAAGTTGCTCCAACATCTCTGAACAGACCAGGAAAGCCTGTAAAGGTCTGGCCAGAGTGTGGGCAGGTGCAATGATCTCTCAACGATCTACCTGCCTTTAAATGTGGATTCAGCTGGGGTTCAAGGGGTGCCAGTGTTTGGGAAGGGCTATGCTTCTGTTTATTGATCAGTCCCATGTGTTATTCGAGAGCCTTCTGCTCCCTTATTTCATCAGGGAGAGCTGCCTGGACTAAGATAGGTTTTAAGTCTAACACTAAATCAGATGCTGAGTAACCTGAAGAGTTCTAGATAAGCTAATGAAATTTGTTGAGCAATAGAAATTTAGATTCTTTAAAAAAAATTACAAGCAGAATTAGTGATGCAAAGCACAGCAACCAAAAGCACTGAATTTCCAGCTCAGAGGGTCATCATTGGAGGAATATTAACATAGCCCTTGAATTAAGGTAAATAATTACTGAATTGATGTAAATTTATTCAGGAGTAAGACTTTGGCTTGTGAAAATGCCACAGTAGTTATTCATGGAGAGCCATGGGAGCGCTGGGGGCTGGAGATGGCTGTGTGTCAGTTCATGGGAGGGCAGCAAGGAGGATCTGCCAGCACATCTCAGCTCTTCTGGGCTGGCCTTGGTGTAAAAGTGCAGGAGCCAGAGAGGCACTTGTGCCTTTTGGTGGTCTCTGTCACCTGCTCCTGCAGCAGCATTGACTGCAGCACTCACTCTCCTGCCTCAGCTGCACAATTTGTAAACTGGAATTAATAGCAGCCACCACTGGGATTGTTTGGAGACTTCCCCCTGTTAAAATGCCTGTCATTTCCACTCTGCTCCAGTAGTGCTCAGTATTACTGTTATTACATGGTGCTTTCCTAGCTTGCTGTTCAGAAAAGCAGCTGCCTTCTGTGGCTGGTGTAAGCTACCATTATGCTGGGTTATATTATGTATGTGACTGTACTTTTGGCATTCGGGTCTATCATTTAGATTAATTTGGAAATTGTGTAGTGACTTGAGGAAAACTGCTGTTGAATTGAAGTTTGTTAGCCCAGAAAATATCATTAGTCAAAAAATCCCCTGTAATTGTGTAATAAATGCAATAGTGGATGATCTTGCATATAAACCAGACACTTGAAATATAACTTTAGGTACATTTTGCCTTTCTTTTTTTTCCCCCACAGTATGGGGTACTGCATCCTTTTTGTCCACGGTCTAAAAAAGCTGTCTACGTGGCTAAATAAATGGAGAATTACTGTTCCAACCCTCTTTGCTTTGCTGCTGCTGCTCTTCTCTTGGAAGACCGTGAAACAGAATGAGATCTGGCTGTCACGAGAATCCCTTTTCAGGTAGGAGTGACCACAGGAGAATCCTTGCATTTTTATATTGTTTAAAGTAGGTTTGCTGCATGGAATGTTTTTCTTTAGAAAAAGTTGTGCTATTGATGTGTTGATCTAATTAACATTTTTATTACCATAAAATAGCACTTTCTGTTTTGTGACAACTGTGCAAAAACTGGTGTCAGCAGTTTACATGCTGATGGACAAACTTTGGTTCTGACAATCACATTTTTAAGACATGATGTTTTTAAATAACTTTGATTCTGTAGATTTAATGATAGCATTATGCTTTTGTTTCTAAAGACATAGCAAAGGTTTTTTGCAGCACTCCAGAATGCCATAGTAACGCTACTGAATATATTGAAATTTCTTTAGCAATGTTCTAATGACAAAAATAAAATGCCACAAAGTGCCAAACTTAATGTACCATATTTCATTTTATTTCATTACTCTTTGCCAAACAGCTCTGTTAACAGCCTCATTTATGTATTTTCTTGCATTGAAACAGACTGTTTCATTTTGTGTTTTGCTAGAAAATGTATTGCATTTGCCTCCAGCTGCTTTCAGCAGTTGTCTAATTGTGAAGTAATTGCAGAAACGCAGGTGATCTGCACACAGGTTGAGCTTTATTTCCTAACTGATTGGCCAGAGCAAAGTTTAATTTATGCAGCACTGAAAGTATGAAATTGTTTTTTATATGTACCCTTTGGTCTTCAGCAAATACTGCTGAAGTGGTTGGAGCTCTCTCAGTGGGGCTGTTTTTTAAAAAATCTGGAATTGGGTTTTCTCCCCTCTGAGTGATTCATGGAATATTCTGAGTTGGAGGGGACCCACAAGGAGCATTAAGTCCGGCTCTTAAGTGAATGGCCCATAGAGGGATGGGATCAAAACCACAACCTGGGCACTGTTAACAGCACACTGACCCACTGAGCCAGTCTCAGCTCCCTGCTGGCTCCCTCAATCACTCTTTGCTGTCCCAGCAGTGGTGGCTGCCTGGACTCACTCAGCAATCCAAACCTGGCCACTTGGAGGAAAGTGGGAGGGTTTCCAGGTTGGATCACTCTCTTGCTGAAGGGGAAGTGGGAATCTGATGATTCCATTTGCAGACTTGCAGGCATCATATGGTGTTGTGTTGCGCACAGCTGTGGTCACCCAGGTTTAAGCATGGTGATGTTAAACTGTAGCAGGTGACAGGAGGACACTTCTTCCACTAAGGAGCATTCTAGGGACAGTATGGAGTGCTATGGGGTCTGTAGCAGAAGAGAGGGATAAGGTTATGTCTGCTTAATTGGATACAAATGGAATTTTGTCCTTCCAGCCTCCATTCAAAGCAGGGTGACTGTTTACTTCCAGCTGTGAGGTGGTGCCACTGCTGCAGTGCAGCTCTGAGCTGGAGCTAGCACACCTTTACCTGCCTTAGCTTGAGCTGTTTCCCTCTTCAGCCGAGGACTTTTGGGGACAGTACCAGCAGAGAGGTCTGCCCCAGGCTTCTGAGGGGATGGAAGAACTCTTAAATTCCTGCTGGGTCACCTCGTATTGTGGCCTGCCCCTGAGAGCAATCAGCAGCCGCTGCTGAAAAAAAGCGCTGCAAGAACAGGGCCAGCAACAATAATGCTGCTCTCCAGTTCTTTCCCAGCTTGCAGTAATCTGCAGTTTAAAGACTTCCTGAGTCAGGAGTTACTTGCTATTTTTGCTCTTAACAGCCACTGATGGACTTTTCTTCCATAATGTCTCTGACTGCTTTTTCAAATCTATTTATAGTTTTGGCTTCTACAGCATCCTGTGCACTGGGCTCTGTCGTTAAATTACAGAGTGTGCACACTAAGATTTCCCTCTGTGTGCTGTGAGCCTTCTGCCTGATTATCTGGTTGGTGTCCCCTGGTTCTGGTGTGCTGAATGAGTTGTGAGTAGCCATCAGCTTGTCACTTAGATAAAGGCACTTCCATGCCTTGAAGCCCCATGCCCTCACCTGAGGCTGTCTCCTTTTCACGCTGAAGTCAGCTGGTCTTGGGCTCCCCTCACATGGAAGCTGTTCTGCATTTCTGATTCCTCTTGTCAGTCTTCTCTGAACGCTTTAATACTTTAATCCATCCTTTTGAGAAAGGGGGTTTGCAGCACAATAACATAGGACTACTTTCTGGTTTTTGTTCTCTTCTTCTACTAGTTCATAATTTTCTGCTTGCCTTTTATGACCTCTCCTAAGCAGTGATTGATAATTTCACGGCACTCTCAATGCAAATTCCATGATACCTGCTGTGACTGGAAACACCAGGTTTTTAGCCATCAGTCTGTGTGCAGATTTAGAGTGTGTGTGTACACACTCTCTGATGCTTGTGTCCGTACCAACGCTGCATTTCTTGTGCCATCTTTTTCCCTAGTCTTCAATACAGTGAGATCCTTCTGCAACAAGGTGTAGTTAATTCTTGCAGTGTGATTCACATTGGTGTCATCGGCAAACGTGTCCCCTCTTTTCAAGCTCCTTTGTGAGCCCCTGAAGTAGCTCAGGTGCCATTGCATGTCTCCTGGGAACCCTGCTTGTACCCTTCTCTAGCTGCTTAAAAACTGTTCACACAGTCATGCTCTTTGCTTGCTGTCTTTCAGCTAAGTATTCATTCATGAGAGGATCTTCCCCTCTTACTCCATGATGCCTTGAAGAAATTGGAATTCTTCAGAGAGGGATTTTATATAAAAATCTCCTTTTGGGCATTTAAGTGCTCAACATTGGCGTAGGTGATTTTGATTGACTGGGCTATATTTGGAATATATATAAATATATAAAGGCTTTCCATAGTTTCAATAATATGTATGTACCTGTTGAGTACGCCAACAGAGCTTCCCAAATAACTGCTTTCTGCGGTATGCAAGGCTAATTATTTGTTGGACTGTAGTTATCCAGCAATGTGCTAGAATTACGATTTATTATGGTTTTCCCCAAATTACCTGAAGTGAAAATCACACTTTCTGGTCTGTTTTCCCCTCAAGATCCCTTCCCTGGAGTCAAATGAAGTCATGTTCATCAACTTCCATTCCCCTAGTGCCAGTCTCATTTAAATTACGGGCTACCTACCACAGCTAATAGCTGCCTGTGTGCTTTCCTCTGGATGCATTCTGCCAGGCCCAATGGGTTCATAACTGTTCTGGGTGTTGATTTGCTTTAAAGCCTCTTTTACTGCCACTTCAGTCAGACACAGTGCTTGGGTGTTGCCCTGTGAGGAAAGGCTCCTGTGTGGCAGCTCCTTTGGTTTCCCTGTAGCAGCACTGGTGCAGAGAATCCATTCAGCTCATCTGCTGTGGTCTTTTCTTCTTTAGGCTCTACTTTTAGACCTCCATCATCTATTTGCCTTAGGGGATCTTTGGCAGGTTTCCTCTATCTGATGTATTCCATTATTAGCTTTGATAGCTTTAGCAAGTTTTTCTTTAAATCTCTTTTGGTCTGCCTAATTATGGTTTATGTTTAACTGGCTGATGTTTATTCTCTTTTCCTTTTTCCTTCTGTAGCTGTTCCTTTTTAAAGAATAGTTTTCATTATTCATAGCTGTCTTCACTGTGCTGTTTACCCTTATTGGCCTTTTTGTTGTCCTTTTAAGATCTTCTTTGATAGGTGTTACACATCTCTCACAAGTCTGTAAATGTGGTAGGACCCTCCTTGTTGATGGGAAGGAAATGCAAGAGAAGAATAGTATAGCAAGAAGATAATGTCATTCCAGGAGTAAGAGATCTCCCCTGTGGGGAAGAAGGAGGAGGCTGATGAGGAGAGGAGGGAGAAGTAGATGGAGGTATGTGAAACAACAATAAATTTTAATGGACAGAACAGGAGGAGGATACAGAGCAAATCTATACATGTGGGAAAGAAGACATAATCAACCTACTTGGTATTCTCTCTGTGTGTTGAATTTTTTTTTAAGAAGTGTGTGCTGGGAGAATCTTTACTTATAATCCTAGCTCCTCATTCTTCTTTCTGCAGTTGCTGCTTTAATTAATTACTACTTCTTCTCTCAGTTTTTTTTTTTTTCCTTTCACCTCCAATTTTTGTGCCTCTGTTTGCTTGTTTCTGCAGGATTGATCTGTCTTGATTCCCTTGGTTTTTACAGGCCTGTCCTGTTAAATGTGCTTTTTCTATGCTGGACCAGGAGATGTTTGTATACTCGGTGTGTTCCCAGCTTTGTGCTTGTACCCCATTCCATCCCTTTCTTAAAACTGACACCATTTTGACATTGTGTGGCACTGGCAACTGTGGCCACTCAGTCTTCAGCCCAGGGACCGAGTTTTGTGGGAGCAGAAATCTTGCTGGGTGCTGGCTGAAAGCAGCAGTGTGGGGGAGGCTGCTGCTGGCTGAGGAAATGATGCATCTCCACATACATGCACAAGCACGTGTGCAAGGGCTAAATGAAAATAAACGACAAGTATCAGAAGTGGCCCAATACACAGAGAGATATTTGAGGCATATTGTTCCAAGACATCTCTAGAAGCCCTAGGCAGTTTGTCTCACTGTGTTGGCAGGTGATCAGGGAGGATTCCCTTGTTAATTATTTAAGGAACTGCCCTCTAGAGTGAATGCACAGGCCAGAAGGTCACACTCGAGCTGTGGTCAGTGTTAATGTCCAAAGCCAGGGAGACGGAGGGCAGAGCTGTGGGCTGATCTCCATCCTCTGCACTGGCCTTTCCAGGCTTGTCAAGCTGCCATGTTTCCTGTTGCTCCTGGAAAGCGTCCGCACGCGCTTCCCGCGGCTGTGACAGTGCCTGGAAACCCAGCTGTAACCAGCAAAGGAACTGTACAAAAATCATGCTTTCTCAGTCAGCAGCTCCCCTTCCCGAGCCAGGTTTGCTGACTTCAGGAATCTGCAAAAACTTCTCCAGCCCCAAAGTGGCATTTACTGTGGTGGTATTAATTGTGAAAGCTGGCTGGGCTGAAAAGAGAGTCCCCTTGCATTTGGGGCATCTTCTATAGAGCAGTTTAATATGGCCCAACACAGATATCTGTGGAATCAGTACAAGGGTGGGAGGCCAAGGAAGGTGGTTGGTTGTGTCTTCCACAGAATAATTTGTTGTAGGGGATCTTTGTTGATGATAATGATTCCCAAAGCAGAGGAGACACCATCGGTTTCCCAGGGTTCCTGCTGAGGCAGGAGTGGTCTCATGTTCTTCTAAAGTGAGCACTTTTCATAGGGATGTCACAGAAAATCAATGAAGCCTCAGCCCTGCACCCAGTCACCTTGTAGAGCAGAACATGCACTTAGGAAAACAAGAGAGGGGGTCACAGGGCTTTTTTCCAGCTGAAGTGGAACTTGGATGATGCTGGTATTTGAGGTTGGAAAATACCAGTGGCATTTAATTTCCCTGATTTATGGCTAATAGGGTTTTTGTTTTTCCCTGGGGAGGAAGTTTTACGTAAAAAGGTTTGCCTATTGTTTATTTTCCATTTCTGTTGCTTACTGCTGTCGTAGAAATCAGAAGGGAAGGAAATCCTCTGGAGAAGTGACGTCCAGTGTCAGTGGGCTTGTTTCTGGCTGGAGCCAGACTGGTGCTGTATGTAGGTTTTCAGGAGGGCATGTGTATGACAGGCTGGGGAACAGGGAAACAGGAGAGTTTGGAAAAGCACATTGGAAAGTTATATTGAAATTGTGAGAGACTGGGAGCTTGTGGGAAGCAGAAATGGAAAAACATTTTGTTCTGCTTTGTTATTTATACTCCACCCTTTCCTTCTTGGCTTTCACTGTGGACATCATTGTTTCCTCTGTCAATGAGCAAACAGCGTTCTCACTGGTCAGGAACCAGTTGGCAGGAGTGTTAACTCCTCAACTCTCCTGAAAATTCCCCTCTGCATCCAGTGCTGGGTTTGCTGCCTCCCCCAAGCAGTTTCAGTCATTGCTACGTGCATTTGCAAAATGAAACATTCCCCCTCCCTGCCCATGTGAGGAGAATAAATAGGTCAGTGTGATGCAGAAGAGAGCATCTTAAGAACCCAAACCCATTTCTGCCTTTCCTCTGTCACTCCTGCCACCAGCAGAAGCACACAGATGCAAGCAGCTTTATTAGTGATGTTCTAATAAATGGGACCAGCAGAATTAGTGATAAATTCTACTTAAAGGAAAACAGCCCAGAATTAAAATACTTAAATGTATGTATCTTGCTGTTAAAACTGAATCTCATTAGAACTGAAGTGCTGGTGCATGTATAATGTACTGCTCACTGTTAGCTCAGCCTGCTCTGTTTCAGCAGAGGCTGGAGCAGAGCAGCTCCTTGCACGTAGCTCTGAGAGAGCAGCAGTTTTGAGTGCCATGTCTGTGCCTGTAACACTGATGCTGATGTAATGAAACCGTCTCTGTATAAGAATTAATATTCCAGTAATGCCCAGAGGTTGTAAGTGTGTAGTTAATAGCTCCCAAGGCCAATGGAAATTAACACAGCCATAGCAGTCACACATTACTTGCTGCTGGTGCAGTATATCTTTGTGAAAACTAATATAGAAAATCATTCTCTTAAGAATAGCATCAATTAACTGATTTAATTCAGCGATTAGTCACAAAATGTCTTATTCCTGTAGTGCTCCCAGTAAGTAATTTGGAAATACCTGATGATTAGGAAGCCAAATGCAAGGTGCACTTTTAATTTTAGAAGGCAAACCGTGGCTGTGTTGAGCTGAACTCTGCAAGGCAGTTGTGGGCGAAGCTTTGGAAACTCTCACAAGTAGGTGTTAGTGATGCTGGATGCCACTGGCTGCAGATAACCAAAAGAATACCATATTTGCAATTCCTCAGTGCTGTTCTGCAGTGAAATCCCCCTCAAAGGCTTTCTGCAGCTCTGGGTGCATTTTTCCCATGAAGATGGGTGTGCACCCCACAGCAGGGCTGCCTGTGACCCTGTCTCATTGCAATTAACTTCCATGCTAACCAAGGTTAAATGGGAGAGGCAGACAAGGCAAAGCAACAAGACTTGGCAATTTTCTAGTCCTTGCTTCTCCTACCTGAGGTAGCAGGGTTGGAGATGCTGGGAGTAGAAGAGAGCAGCTGGCAGGAATCTGCTTGTGAGCAAGAAACAGCACTTTGTCTGCTTTTACATGAACAGATTCATCCATCCTTATTTCCCATTACCTCAGAGAGCCCCTGTTTATGTGCTGGAAAGGATTCCCCCAATAAATAGAGCACTGACTTCTCTGGATTCTTGCAGGGGAAATGTTTCCACAGCGTACGTGCTCCTGTGATTTCTTTCTCTGTTTAACCTTGGAACAGCATTTCCTCTGGCTGTGCAAGGTGTACCTTGCTTTCTGTGCTCTCAATTAAGCGAATAAGCATATGCTTGCTTTTGTCTTTGTGCCCTCATTATAAATTCCAAATGTTGAGTTCAGTCTACACGTGGCAGGGGAGACAGAGGGGAGGGATGGGGTGGCTGTGCAGCCAGATATTCCTCAGTCATGTGTCATAATGCCAGAGTGTTGTTTTGCCACCTAAGGGTTAGAGTCCCCATTAGCCCTCACCTCCTGGGCACATTCTGCTCTGCCTTAAGCAGTGCACATGTGCTGGTACTTGGAATATGCCATGCATTCCATCTAGTGGCTGATGCACGTGGAGAAGATTCCCTCTTTCTGCTATCTGCAGTGCCAGCTTTAAATCAAGATTTTAATAAGATGCTTCCTGACACTCAGGTTTAAGCAGGGACCTTGTTTTTAGGAAGTACTACATGCTTTCCCTCTAAATATTAACCATTTAGATTTTGGTCTTTCAGTTTAGTCATTCAGATTTTAGAACACAGCAGCCTCTGGCCACGGGGAGCGTTGCAGTGCTGCTGCTGAAGTGCCTGCAGTGACAGCCACCAGGATGAGTTGAATTGCTGCCACACATTTGTGTCTGCCCTGGGCACTTGGCACGGGGGACAAGCTGGGAGATCAAACATGAGCTGTGCTGGCACAAATGCACAGGAGGTGACGAGGTGCTGGGATCAGCAGCAAGCTTTTCAGGAGAAGGGAGGGACTGCCAGAAGAAGGTGGGCCCAGGGGAGGTGGGGTAACCTGGCTGCTCATGTGTCCTGCTTCTGTTCCTCCTCACAGCTCAGGAGTGAAGACCCTGCCCCACAACGCCAAGGTGCACTACAACTATGCCAATTTCCTGAAGGACCAGGGCCGAAATGTTGAAGCAATCTACCACTACAAAACTGCTCTCAAGTAAGTCCCTCAGGGCCTGGGGGGCTCCTGCTGTTAACCCTTCTCCTTCCTGACAGGCATGGGGTGAGCTGGCTGCTCCTCTCTGACTCCATGGGAGCAGCTTGGCTTTGGGAGCCTGGGAAAGTTCCCTGGCTGGGTGTTTGTGTGTCATAAAATGAGGTAGCCTGGCTTCCCTCCAGCTCCACGTGTGTGTGTGTGCACTTCAGTACATGAGATAGAAATGTTACCATAGCTACACCTTGAGCGATGAGGTGTCATTTACACAGCTGAATGTTTGCTGGTAAGCAGGAGGTAGTTGTCCTAAATGAATTTTCAGGTTCCTGGCACATTTATCTTTGTAAATTGTTAATGGTGCATGCCTGGAAAATGTCAGTGCAGTAGCCATCTGAAGTGCAGTAACAATAATGGTACTTACTGCTTGTGTTGAGGCTTCTGTCCACAGAGCTTTGCATGAACGCTAAACTAATTGATCCTGAAAATGCTCCTGTGCAGTAACAGGGCAGATATCATTGCTGAGGTTCTGTGCAGGGGGAAGCTGAGGCAGCAGGATGAATTGCCTTGCTTGTAGATGAATGGTAAATCAGGGCCCAGGGCTGGGCTGTAATTTGGGACACATCCTGTGGTACCTATGGAGGACCCTCCCTTCCCACATGGATGGGGTGTGAGCAGCTTCCCTCCCCTTGCTGCTCCTCCCTGCTGATCCTGCAGCTCAGCTGCTCCCTGGGCAGTGCTCAGGGCATCAGGCAGCTCACCCTAGATCCCCAAACCTCTCCCCTCTGCTTCTTGGGACCTGGGAGAAAGGACAAGCCCCTCTGGGGGATGAATGCAAGGAAAAGGGCTGGGGGATGGTGTGGTGGCAAGCATGGAGTGCACAGATAGTGTTTTCAGGAATAGAAGCAAGTTTGCTTCTATTCTTCCCTTCTATAAGGGAAGGACAGGCAAGGTGAAGAGTGGCTCTGATGGACAGCAAGGGCAGAGCCCAGCTTCATAAGGCATGCCAGGAAGTGGAAGAAATGTTCTTTCCTGACATGTGATGTGACAGAAAACTCCAGAAATTACATGTATGTTTTGTCTTTTGGCCAGCTGGCAGGGTTATGATAAAAGCTCTGCAAGGGCTCCCAGCCGACCCAGGCTGACCTGTGAGGACAGGAGTTCATCGTCACTGAGGAGGGAGTGAACCTGGGTGAAGGTGATTTTCAGCTTTTTTGAGCAACATCCTGTTCTGTTTTGCCATGCTGGGTATTTAGGAAGTAATTTAGAAAAGCCTTCTATTTTTTTAAAGTTTCCAGCAATGGAAAATCCAGCACAACCATCAGTAAATGGTACTGAAGGTTAATTACATTGGCTGTTGAAAATGTCCTCCCTTATTTTTAGACTGATTTGTTTGACATCAGCTTCCAGTCATTGAATTTGTTTACCCCTTTCAATGCCACACTTAAAGGTCCTATTACCAAAATTCAGTTTTCTGTAGAGTGATCAACTCCTCCCTTAACCTGCTGTTTAATAGGTGCTGGTTTTTTCAGCATCACAAAGTTTTGCAGTCCTCCAGTTGTTCCTGTATCTAGTCTCTGAATTCTTCCAAGTTACCAGTAAAGCCCATAGCAAGTTAAAAAAAAGAAGAGGGACTGAAAAAAATGATCCAAGCCCTGCAGTGGAGTGCACAGAGTAATGTAACTGCTCCTACCACCATTGTCTGTGCTTGTGTAAATGGGATTTGCAGACAAAAGATCTTCTCTAACTCAGCAGCACCCATTTATTGTAATTATAATGCTGTTTTCTGCTCTGCAGTATTTCAATTATGAAAGAGTCTTGTTTTAAGAGCTGATTGCAAACATTTTTTCCACTGCATTACAGAGCACTGTTCATGCTGGTGTTGTTTATAGAGCATCTGAAGCCTTGTTGGGGCTGGGAGCCCCACAGAGCCAGCCCTGCTCTTCTCTAGGTGCTTGGTGCCTCACTGGTGCTAGCACTCGACTTGCTTCAGTAATTTCAACATTAGCTGGCAGTTTGGAAAAGTGAAACTCACCTTGCACATTCTCTTTTTGACCCAAAAGTGCAGGCCAGGAGTTGGAAATCTCCATCCCTGGGAAGCTGCACTACTTGTTCTTGTCACAGTGTATCTCTGCACCTACATTTTTCTTATATTTACTCCCTCTTGCCCCCTCTGGCACAGGGAAATTATCTGGGGTCTGTGTAATGAGCACTAGAACAGTGCAAGTAAGAAGTGCGCTGTGTTCTTCTGTTGAGGATGGCATTCTGTGATGTCTGTGTTTCCCCCTGAGACAGTCAGACCCTTCCTGCAGTGCCTGGGTTTGTGTGTGAGCCCTGCAGCCTCTCTTAGCTGTGCTGCCTGCATTTGGTGGCTGTGTTGGAGCAGTGGAGAAGCTGCTGGGTGTGGACAGGCAGCCTCAGGTGGATGCAGTGCCAGAGCATGCCCAGATATCACAGAAAACAGCTGCTGTGTCTGTAGAGCTGTTCCCCATCCTCACAGGCACCAGCTCCTCACAGACTGCTCTCATTGTAGACCAATCTCCATAATTAGAGAGAAGGGAGTAGTAGCTGTAATATCCCGAGCAGAATTTGGTAGTTTAGGGTATTTTTGGCCACTGGCTTGACCTGGAAAGATGAATTACCACTCTGTAAATTTCCATGTCAGGGAGTAGGCGGACCAGCAGCTGAGGCATTCTCACAACAAGCTTTCACGGTTTCCCACAGGTACCCCTCACTGAGTGCCTGCTCTCCCAGTGAGTGTGGGTGGATCCATCCTCCCCAGGTTACAGAAAACCCAAGCTACCCAGGAGGCTTCAAATCCAATGGCAGCACAGCCAAGAGCACAGAAGATAAAAATATTATTTCTGCCTAGTGCTCAGTGAGCAGATCAATAGGGAATTAATAAGGAGCTGGAGTCGATAAGGACACGGCTTGCTGCCTGGGAGCTCCTGGGAGATGGGAAAGGGAGAGCTGCACTGCCTCAGTGGGTGATGGCTCATCCTCTATTCCAGCTTTGTGCCAAACAACAGTGCAGCTCTGCTTGATCTCTGGTGAATGATTTTAATTGTTTAGTAAACAAAAAGTGATCTTGTCAGTCTGCACGCTGCTGCTTGAACTGTGAGCAATTTGCCATTCCACCAACTCCACCAAGGTGAGGAGGCACTTCCATGTGCTCCTGCTCTGCCAGCAGTGCTGGCTGCCTTGTGTCTGCTCAGCAAAGCAGCACCTTCCTTCTGGGAAGCTGGAGCTGTGGGAAAGGATGCTGAAGTGTACACAGGTTACCTAGTGAAATACTAGCAATGGATACTAAATCCTGGTAAGTTGTAACTGTGGGAAAGTGTGACCATGTTCGCAGGGGTCTCAGGTTGAGGAAAGAGATGAGGATTTGACTCCATGTTTAAGAAGGCTTGATTTATTATTTTATGATATATATTACAATAAAACTATACTAAAAGAATAGAAGAAAAGGTTTCATCTCAGAAGGCTAGCTAAGCTAAGAATAGAATGGAATGAATAACAAAGGTTTGTATCTCAGACTCTCTGTCCAAGCCAGCTGACTGTGATTGGCCATTAATTACAAACATCCAAGATGAGCCAATCACAGATGGACCTGTTGCATTCCACAGCAGCAGATAACCATTGTTTACATTTTGTTCCTGAGGCTTCTCAGCTTCTCAGGAGGAAAAAATCCTAAGGAAAGGATTTTTTATAAAAGTTGTCTGTGACAGGAAAGGATGCTGAAGTGCACACAGGTTACCTAGTGAAATACTAGCAATGGATGCTAAATTCTGGGAAAGTTGATCCCCAATGCTTTAACTGCTCCTTTCCTGTTTTCAGAGACAGGTGGGATTTGCTGATGGCAAGTGTTGGTGTGCCTCTGTTAGCTTCAGGGCAGAAAAGTGGTGAAGGAGAGTAATGTGTTTTCTCTGTCAGTGGAACTGCAGGGCAGGTTTCCAAGGCAAACTTGGCAATCAGTCCCAACAACCACCATTGCAGGTGGCCCATCAGAAAACTCGTTCCTCAGCCCAGCCCAAAGGCCAGTAACAAAACACCCTGACCTATACAGACTTGGGTAATTAGTGCAATCTAATTATCTTTTCCAGGAGTGGGGGAAATGAACACTGAAATGAAATGCAAAAATAGAGAATGATGTTTGAATTGGAGATGGGTGATGGGGTCTCTGGTGTTGAGATGACCCCGAAGTGTTAGAAAGTCTCTTTATCCCAGCCCTGAGACCAAAGAAGAAGTCAGGATTCCTGGGCTCTCATTCTCAAGGTTGTTTATTTGCTCTTATTTAATACATTGTCTTTCTGACCCACTGAGGTCTGTCCAGCAGGTTGGATTGAGGCACATTGACTGCCCTCAGGGCAGTATTATCTTTTTATACTAAAAACTACGTGTACTTTATTTACAATAATTTTCCAGTACCTATCATCTATGTTAGACAGTGAGCTTCTACTCTAAACCAATCCAAAATTGCCACCATCACAGCAGAAGATGGAGGACGAAGAAGAAGAAGGAGAAAGAAGTACAAACCCAGATTCCTCCATCTTGCCTCCTGAACCCCCGTTCTAAAAACCCCAAATTCTACTTTTTCACCCTGTGATAAATTCATTGTCATTCTATTCAAACTCTTGTGGCTTGTAACTCTTTGCGCAAAGTTGGTGATCATTTCCATGGGTTAAAATCGAAGGCACAGGTGTCTTTGACTCCGTGCCAAGGTCTCTGAGCCCCCTGCTGGGGTCTTGAGTCCTCCAGGACAGTCAGAGGAATGTCCTGGGTTCTGACAGATGGGGAGAATGAAAAGAACAAAAATTCTTTATATGAAGGAAAATCTCTTCCTATATGTAGTTCCTAAAAGGGGAATGGAAATGGAGCCTGTAAAACAGCCCCGACAAACAGCTGGTGTTCAGCAATTGTACAGTGGGTTATAAACCTTTCAGCTTACCTACAGTAAAACAAGAAAAACACTCTGCTGGATTAGACTGCTTCACTGGCTTGTCTGACAT